GAGAGGAGCCTTTGATAAGAACAAGTAAAATGTCACAACTGCATCTCAAAGGTTTTGGCTTGGCATCAAATCAATACAGGTCACAACGTCATCTACAAGCATCATCGTCCACGAGACTCCTGCCTGAGCTCATCTATCAACCTGTCCGACACTATTGCACACAAGACGGGGCTCAGGGCTGATCCCTGATGTAATCCCACCTCCACCTTGAACCCATCTGTCACTTCTACAGCACACGTCACACTGCCCCTCTATTCTCATATTTATTCTGCACCACCTTCACATATTTCACTGCCATGCAGCGAGACTCTTCTGGATCAATTTACTTCATTTTTCATGGCATTTTATATCATTTTCTTTTTGCAAATTTTCTAATCAAATGAATTTTGTGACTATTATTGTGACTTTCCTTGAATGCTCTTTTGACCTTCCTTTGCAGAATGATGGTAGTGCATACTTTAGCACCATCTACTGAGGAGTTTCCTCATGTGCATTTTAAATGTGACATTAAATTTGACCAAATTTACTTTTTCCCTTTTTGTTTAAGGTGGAAATTTGAACTTCTTCAGTTACAAAAATGAAAGTAATTATTTAAAGTTGAAAACTTAGTATATTTTAACATTTAACACATGCTTAAAGGTTGGGAAGCAGGAGGATTTGCCGTTTCCCTTCCTTTTTAATTTAGGTTTTAATGAATTCATAGAGCTCAATGGAAGTCATGTCCAGCTGTTAAAATCCGAATAGCAGCAAATTTTTAATGCGAGCTCTTTGTGGAGGTATCTACAATCCTTCCAGGTGTTTGTTTATTAATTCATAGCAATATTTAAATGTCCGTAAAACATAATTACACTAAGTTTTTAATTCTCTTTAAGCTAATTGAAGTAAGAATAAAAAAGGAATGTAAAACGGCAACAATAACTTTTACGGGTTTTTTGTAATTAAAGAATTTTACATTTCCCAGAAGCCTCTTTGTCTTTACTTTTTATCATTTCTGAGAACACAACAAGTAATTGCAAGTATGTGCACATGTTAAAGTATTGTTCTGTAATTATTCTTTTTTAAAAGCAACTAATTATAAGTAAAATGATCTTTAAAATGAACACACTGAAAGCTACAAGGACAACTCAGGTTTTCACAACACGTTTCAGGCTTTGCGGGAACCGGGACGGAGTGAGCACTCTTCGCGTTCTCCCGCTCTCACTCGGTCGGTAACCAAGCCGAGGCTTCCCTGCTTTTGCCATGACAACAAAGAAACGATCCCGGTACATTCCCTGTTGTTTGGCCCCTGGTCACTAGGTAACAGCAACGCGAATCCAAGAAAAAACATCCGGAAAAGATCCCCGATTGTTCTTCTGTTCGTTTAAACGAAGAACACCAGAAGACGCTTCTTTACGCATCAGAATTCCCGAGCGACAAATCCACTAAAAGACATGACGACGCATTCTCTTCCTTTTTTAGAGAACAGTCCTGGTCAAAAACTCCAGGTGGGAAATGGAGTAAACAACATTTTTGTGACACAGTCGCAGGACAGCAGGTAGGCCCGTGGTTTTGAGGAGCAGCAAGTTAGTCTGATGTCCCCATTCATACATGCCTTTACTGTCTTAGACTGTTACTGACAGTTTTCTCTTCACACACAGAAGGGAAGATGATGCCAATCACATACCAGTTTTAAAAGTGGTAAGATTTGTGCCTTCACAGAAAATAGTCTTACTTCCACAGGTTCTATTTCTTCTATTTCCTGCTTTATACCTTTAATTCTATTTGATTTTACTTCTCCTTTTACAGTTTTTTACAGACGCTAGGACACACTTCCCAATACTTAGGTCACTTTTGCAAAACACTTCACACAATCCTCCTAACTGACCCTCAGCTTGGCAAAGCAGTTCATTTCACATTCAAAATGCAC